AATTGGTTCGGAAAAAATTCAGTGGGTAGCTGGTTCCACATAGTGGTGGTGCGCGGAAAAACTGCCTTATTAAACGCTCAGTTGTGGAACGACGGACGTCGAGGTGATACGGATGATATTTTGTATTTTCACGACCGATGTTGAAACTCAGCTGCAGGTATTAATCCGAATAGCTCCTCTGAACTATCTATATCTATACTAATATAGAAAGAAAGATAGGTATATAAAGGTATTTTCGTTTCTTCTAAAAACCCAATGAAATTTAAAAAAATCCTCCACCATTCAAATACAGTAGAACCTCTATAAGTCGAACATCAAGGGAGACGCCAAAAAATTCGAGTTATAGAGTTTTCAACTTATGGAGGATTTCGACTTAGGCGGATTTTGATTCGACATAAAGAGTTTGAGGTTTATTCTTATAAATTTTGAGTTAGAGAGGTAAAATAAATAGAAATTCAACTTGCAGAGGTGACAAACATATTTTTATTTATTATAAATCAACATTATTTCAAATCATTTTAAAATAAAAAATATGGCATTAATAAAAGTCAGTAATTTTTTTTTGCTTTAGATAATTTGGTTGTTCTCTATCTATAGCATTGTCTAATCTATAAAGAGCAGAAAATTCTTCTTCTTCAGAGTTACTGGTTTGCTCTATAAAATTACGTAAGGTATTCAATGCGGTTCGCGCCTCTTTGATGGAAACCCATGGAGCGCATGTACTATTCACGCCTTCTATGTCATCTAAATCATTAGTATCGGTTTTCTGAGCTACTGAATCGATAATTTCGTCATCAGATAATGTTCCAGCAGTCATAACTCCATCATCGCACGAAACAAAGTCCTCAAAGGACTTTAAGTCGAAAACAAATGACTGGCTTAGCTAAATTTCAAAGGGAATCAAAATTGAACACCTGACACAAAGCAAGCAAACACGTGTTTCCATGAGTCATAAATTTATTATTGTATACTCCTAAAATGTTTTCTAAGAAACAATAGTGTACTCACATTGGCGGCAAGTTCTTAAAGTCGGTAACTTATTTTTGTTCGAACAATAGAGATAATACATTCCAAATGATCAAGTTGTAAAGGTTGTAAAATAAAACGTTCCTATGTTCGAGATACAGAGGTCAAATTTAATTTTTCGAGTTATAGAGTGAAAATATGTACCAAAATGGCTTGGAGGGACTCGGTGATTATTTCGATTAACAGAGGGTCAAGATTTCAAGTAATGGCGGTTTTGGTGTTTTAAGGGAAGGGAACAAAACATTTTTTCGAGATTTGGAGGTTTTTGACTTATCGAGGTTCGACTTAACGAGGTTCTACTGTACATCCCTGAGTTTATTATATTAAGTTTCCAAGTAAAAAATGCCCGGACAGGCAACTAATATAAGATTGCCAACCCTAATGCCCTCTTTGGTGGGTAGCTGGTTGCACATAGTGTTGGAAAAATCCACCTTTAAAATAGCTCATTTGTATATGGGAGAATACCCGTATTATACAAGGGACTGAAATCGCGTAATATGAAAACGCGTTATAAGAGGGTTTACTGTACTTTTAATCAATTGCTTAAAGAATTTAAATTAAGAACTTTGATAAATGAATGACAGATATTCATATCATAAACACTTGCAAGGAAGTGATTACAAGTAGGAGATAAGCGTCTGCTGACGTGAAATTATCACTAGTAATGGACTCTTTAATTTAATGATTACTGGGAATTAACTCTCAGATTCAGAGTCAAGAATTAACGCTAAGAAAATAGTGACAATAAAAACATATTGGTTCTGACATAATATGTCATACTGGCGCTAAATTTTAACCTAAATTCGCGATGTGTCAACATAGGTTTGGAGACAGACAACAAAAACAAGGTTTTTTTTATGGAACAGGAGGCAAACGGGCAGGCGGTTCCGCCTCCCATAGGTACATAGCCAGAGGGCTCGCGAGTGCCCTACCGGCCTTTTAATAATTAGTGCGATCTTTTCTTGAAACCCTAAGTCGAATTGGTTCGGTGATACTTCGGTGGTGCACGGCAAGTTGTGGAAAGACGGACGTCGAGATAATACGAATGGTATTGGTATTCTGCCTTAACGTCCGACGATAAAACTCAGCTGCAGGTAGCCGAAAAACTCTGAATACACTCCATGGTAAATGCGGTAGAAGATACAGAGAATCTCCACAAAAACGTAAAATAAAAGTTATAGTATAAGATCCCGATATACAACGACCTTCACCAAGATGCTTATTTAATGAAACGTATTTTATATTAAATTTAATATGTCAATAAATATAATCCATATGGGTTGCCTAGCAAATTTCAGTCCAGAATATGTTTAATTAATATTTAAAAAAAAGTATTTTTTTATAATTTGCATGTAGTAAATTTTTTTAATTTTTTTCAATCAATATTTTTAATCAGGGTAGTATTATATATGTATCACTATAACTTTATTTTTTACTAAAGATGTATATATACTTTAGTGTCATATAAAAAATATACACATAAATAATTAATTGATTAAAAACAACCTAACGTTTGCATATTCTATTTATTTGACGACTCATTGGTCTAGTGGTTAGTACCCCTGACTGCGAATCCATGGGTCCCGGGTTCGATCCCCGGCTGAGACGAACATCGATGTGATGAGCATTTGGTGTTGTGCTTAGGTCTTGGGTGTTTAAATATGTATTTATATGTCTATCTATCTATAATATGTATGTTTATCCGTTGCCTAGTACCCATAACACAAGCTTCACCAGCTTAGCATGGGACTAGGTCAATTGGTGTGAATTGTTATTATAAAAAAATAAAAATAAAAAATTCTATGGGCTTCATACTTTCGATTGGTATAGAATTTATCTAATAATCATACCGGAGAAATGTTTAAAAAAATATATTTCTTTTAATATTAATTAAAATACTCTGGACTGAAATTTGCTAGGCAACCCATATGGATTATATTTATTGACATATTAAATTAAATATAAAATACGTTTCATTAAATAAGCATCTCGGTGAAGGTCGTTGTATATCGGGATCTTAGACCATTATGAAAAAAGAAGTATAACTTCAAAAATGACATAAGACAATATAATCCGATGGCAAGTACTTGCCAACACCTATCCAGTTACATATAATGGCGTATCAACGAAGCAATTCTGAACAATATGCAACGCTTATTCACTTAAAAAAATAAATTGGTCCGATGATTTTCGATTAGGTAACATGTTTCAACAACAACTTTTATGTCTTAAATTAAAACATTGATTCTTCAAAGGTTATTTGTATTAAAAAAAAAAGTGTGTGTACTTATGTACACGCTTTAGAAGTAATACTTCTTTGGCGTAAGATAAAACTCTTCACTTCAAGGTGTCGGTTTTTTGTGACATGCGCGCGCATCGTAAAGATTTACTCTCATAATTTTTCCTTAACGCGCCAAACGAAGTATAACTTCAATAAATACGAAGTACAGTCAATCCCCTCCCTACAACGCGGTAGACCAGGCCCACGTGTTGTAAGAGTGTTCTCGTAATTCTTTTTGAACAATTAAAAAACTAGGAAAACTAATTTATTAAAGTTATTGTAACAGGTGCAAAGGTACGCAAAACTAATTATGGACTTGACAAATCAATACAAATTAACACACAACAGAAATATTACTCGAGCAATCTCCGCGTTAAAGAGGAAAATTACCTCGTTATATGGGGGAATGGTCTAGTAACAGAGGAATGGAGGAGAGATACAGCGAAGAGCGTGATTATCTGTGCATAAAAAACTTAGCGTTCAACCCTTGGTCATGGCCCCAGATTTCTGTATCAGTTTCATGATCATTTCATTTTGCTAATAGGCAATTAGGTGATCCTTCTGTATCTGACACACGCCGTCGATTTTTGTGTCTAAACTCGCACGCGCCGGTTTTCTCGCGATGTTTTCCTTAAGCGAGTGTTAAATGCGCACAAAGAAAAGGTGCACAGCCGTTTCGAACATACGACCTCAGGGATAAAGTCGCAAACTCAAACCACTAGATCAATACTGCTCTCAAAGGAAGAACTACATAGACAGAAAATAAATACTCCATCAAATGATCGAATCAAATAGAACCAATAGTTTTGTCAGTTTGGTACAGCCATCCCACTCAAAAGGGTTTGTTTATCAAGCAGATGCTATGACCAAAACCCATCAAGGGTTTGTAGCGCCACTGGAGTATTACTAATTACCATATACCATACTTTATTTGTTCATAAATGGAAAATCAATTAGACTAATTTTATAGGACTTTATCTATTGACTAAACAAGACATTATCTATTTGCACAAATTCCGGGGTAAAGGTCGTTTACGCTCAAAATTATATCGTATTTAAGATAATTACAGACCCTGAGGTCAATTATTATCAAGCACGAGTAGCAGACATGAGTTAACATTTAACTAAAATTAACTTTATCTCAAATTCCATTGATAAATAATGCTATCATACATAACACTATCAATCAAAATTTTTATACAACAAATTCTTTAAAACACGTCATGGATTTGACATAAAAGAGCTTGTTGAGATTGTTGCCCAACCAGGGTTCGAATTTTCTACCTCATCATTAAGAACGCTAACTACAAAGTTTACACTTCTCTTCATAATTTTTTAAAGTGCTAATATAAGCCAAGTATAAATGTAATGGCCGACGCGATATGTATTATAAATTAAAAATATCAAAATATATTTTCCTCCATCATTAAACCTCTTATAAAACGTGATTAAAGATCTTTCTTTAGTCAATGTCAAAAATACAATGCATTGACTGTCAAACTTATTAATTTAAAACCTAGAGGGTAAATAGTATAATAACACAAAAACGGCTCTATTTCAATAAATCAATTAAATTCACATTATTAACCACACTAACATTATTATTAGGGCTTTTTTAATTTAAATTGCTAGTATTAAAACATAATTACAAGTTATAGGTATGTATATCAATTATTCTTATGTTTTTTATAGTTCATATAAAATTATTTTCTACAACATACCTCAATACATATGCATCAACTTGGTCACTCTGTGTAAAAGATATGATCTCACAACGGACTATTTTCAAAACATTCTCCCATTGTTGGCTGAAAATAAAATTGTAAATTCATTTTTGTGAATAAAAAAGTTATGTAATATTATTTTAAACAAAATGTGTTACATAGATTCTATGTATTATAATAATTTCATGTTGACCATTTTCAAAATAACATGCTTACATGGATTAAAATATAACATATTCACAAAATGAACCTGTTATTATGTTGAACTCTTTACCAGAGTTTCCAAGAACAACTGTCATACTTTTTTGATAGCCTTATTATGAAACATGTTCTGTAATTTGGGACAGGCTTGAGTTTTTACTCCTCACAACCTGTTTCATAATATAAAGCCATTTTCGTACAGTTTGGACTCTCAATTTATATTGTTCAATATTCTTAGATATTGCAATAAATAAGAAAAACCATTCACGAATATAAAATTCTCTTAAGATAAAATACTAGCACAAAAGTACTATAAAAATCAAGAATTTGAGAAATCACATTTTCTTTACAGTAGTGAAATCGCGCGCCGAAAATTAAAATCAATGGCCATGCCATGAACTGCCCAATAGAAGGGGTCTACTAGAGGCTAGAGCGCTGAAAAGCCGGCGCTCCGCTGAAACAGCTGATTCGAGAAGATTCCATAACAAAAACAACATTGATTTTAACCTTGATATATATAAGAAACGAATTAGGTAAATTGCAACATAATCAAAAAAGTGGAGTAAGAGTATTGTATTGAATTAAGCGAAACTATTGTATGCTCAGACAAAAAATTATAGGTTAGTATAAGCCGGTAACCTTAATTCTTTTACATGTAGTTCAAGACATTTAATATTAATATACCATATTTTAATAATTACCGAGTGATTTTTCTTAAATCAGCGTGCTGGACCGGTGTAAACCATATTTCAATTAACTTTTCGACACCTTCAAAAAATTGCTCATTATTATCACTATTCGATATTATTTCCGTTTCAGCCATGGCGAATATATTCAGTTTAAAAAGATTTTATTGTCAGATTGAATTATTATCTTTAAAAATATATTGAAACAAAGGTCACAACCACTTCGAATAGGCGTCGAAAATTGACTGATCGTGAATTACAATTCAAGTCTTTACTTGTTTCATGCCTGTCGCAGAGCTGGCATCTGTCTTTGTCGCACTTAGTTCAGTATAGTAATATTGACGAAGGAGAAAGAATGATTAGCTTGTGAGCAAGAGGAAGGAAGTAAAATAGTTTTCTTTCTCGGTTAAACCCACCAATCGTTTCCAATGTTTTCAGACGCGCGTATTTTAAAATAAGTTTTGGCTCAGCTATAACACTATTATATTTTGGTACACAACCTATTTATAGTAGTATACCATACTAGTTATATTGAGTACTACTTTACTGTTTCTAATATATTTTTTTTAGACACAAAAACAAATCATTATAGCAAACCAAAATATCACAGAACATTACCATTACCAAAAACACTTTTAATCTATCTAATGAATATAAACAATTAGTACAGTCTTTTATTTTTACAATTGTCACTGTAGATAATGACTAACCATGAGTAAATCCATTTCTATGCTTGCTACAATGCATATGAAATGTTAGAAAAGGAAAATAATTCCAAATAAATAATTATAGAACAGTGAAAAATGTGTTTTAAATTAGTAATATTCTTTTATTGTCATAAGACTTCCAACATTGCAACTAATTTATGTAATTTTCCAGTGTCAACACATTTTAAAGGTTTTAATTTTGGTTTAATGATAGGGATAATAGGTATGACATCTTTAGCTTTTTCATTGTGACAAAAATCATCAATATTGGGTTCAAGATCCTTTTTTATTGTAGTTATTTTTGTTTTCCGGTCCTTCTTCTTTAAGTCAGCTGCATCCGCATTCAGTTCCACTAAATTATTGTAAATTCTATCATTGAAATGGAAATTCAATTTTCTTGTTACCTGCAAAATTTTTACAAGATAATTGTGAAAATTATCATACTTTGTTGCAATATAAATAAATATATTACATGTTTCTGTAATGTCGTACATATTCAATTAATAAATGTGTTCTGAACCATTTCATTTTAAAAAAATGTGAGAATAAAAGTTTTGGTTTTCAAGTATAAGTAAAAGTTGTTTAAATTAAAATTCAAGCAACATTTCATTTTGATTTTACCTTGGCACTAAGTGCAGCTTTATCAACTTGTAATTCTTCGTGTAAAAGTCGCGGTGGTGCAGACTTTTTAACTTCAGATAAATAGTTGGCTAACACCTCACTGGAGCATAAAGTGGGATGAGCTAATTCCTGAGTCGTTACTATATTATGGATAGACGATTTAGATGATCCTGCACCAGGATCTCTAATAACTTTATGCTTGCTAATATTAACTTTTTGCTCAGCATGTCGCACAAAAGTTTTCTTCACCTTTGAGTCAGCTGAAGCTTTCCTCATGGTAATTAAAGTGTACTTCGCAATTGAGTGTTTACATCATAACAATAACCAATTATTTGTTTTGAACACCGATGACCGAAATATCAAACAAATTGTAAATGCTCATTGCTCAATTTAAAAATCTAACTCAACTGTAAAGTATACAAAACTGATTATTTACTAACTGCTACTTGATTTTTAGTTCGTCAATTGTCGATCAAATATTTTTTTGAATGTCAAGCTTCGTTGGTTTAAATAACTGACAACTTCAAAATCCAACTATAGTGTGTCAGTGTGTGCTGTGTGAATTGTGATAGTCGATGGACGGTGATAGACCATAGTAACAATTGAGAATTGATAAATCTGAATTTATATTTATTGAAATACTTAAAATTATTTCCTATTTATTTTAATCAGCAAGAAACGTTTCTAGAACATTTTTGTACCTAGTGTATTTAACTTTATAAAGATGAATACAGTGTATTCTGTGAGTTTTTCTTACATAAAATTATATGGATAATGGATGTAGTGAACTCAGAAATGTGCCACATAATCAAGGGCTTAAACTTATTTCAGAATCCTGAGAATTTACCTGTTGAGAACGTTACGCTTTCAGCTGCAAACGACGGTGTAGTCCAGATAATAAAAGCTTTGGTTTGTAAAAATTCAATAATAGTTTTTATTGACATTTCAAAATTTCAAAACATTGTGAAAAAAGTTGAAATATTTAACTGTTTAAAACAAAAAATAATATCAATTTAATTTTAAAATTGTCTGAATAACTGTTATTTTTATAAATAGGACCCATACTGGGTTGAAAAAAAAAATCTAATACTATATGAGAAGCCGCCAACAAGCAGTGGGATGATTATAGGAGCACTGGACTCATGGAGATCGAAAATGTCACTGTATCTAGAGAACTTAAAATGGCTGCTAAGTTTAGAACACCATAGGTATACTTGAGCCACTTGTTTTTATTAGTAAATTTAGTAAAGACCAAGTTTTATAGTTATATATGTAATTTAATCTGTAGCGACACCTACAAATGGTATTATGATGTCCTACTATTTATTGTGCTACTAGGCCAACCATTAATCTTATATACTATCTGATATATTACATACCCTATTCACCAAGAGGTTAATGTACCTTAAAGTACTTGTCTAATTGTGATAGAGATATTTCCAGCCCTGTATTTTCCTTGAAATATGTCAATTTTAATTTATTGCTTATGTTTTTAGATGAATAAGACTTCTTTGCTGATTAACTACATTTCACTTACAGATTTTGGAGCACAGTTCTCTATCACCCTCAGTGTATGGATTCTCTTATTTCATTCCTTCAAGAATCCTCTCCGCCATACATTCCACCACATGAATGTAAAGAAATTCAAAACTTATATGAAGAAATCAGAAGGCTAGTTTTTGTTGCATTTAGTAGACTGATTACGAATAAGGAGAGTAAGGTGCTTTTAAACATTATTTAATATTAACACTCTTTGTGAATAATTATTTTTTTCAGTATATGATTATATATATTTTTCTTAATTTATTAGCACTCATTATTAACTATCTTTTCTAAAAAGTTTTATTTCTTAACTATAATCATGTTAATAACTATGAAAATGTTCACTTGTTTAAAAAAACCTATGGATTACAGACACAATGGATGACCAAGGAACATATGGCAAGTTTAATATATGACAATTTTATATTTACAATACCGGTATTATGGGATATATGTTTAACATATGGTGTAGACAATAGCCGACATGTCTCAAGGCTTGTAGAGGCTGTGTATACACTGCAGCCTAGGTACGAAGGCGATACTGCACAGGCACTAGTTTTTGTACACGAGGTAATTTGTTTTAAATATAGCTCTTATTGGATAGATCTTGTCTTTAACTGTAGGAGAAACAATATGCGAAGAGTACACAGCTAATGATTACAGTGATCACTAGTGTGTCAACAAACTACCAAAGAATATATTTATTGCGCACATATAACACAAATGATCTAAAAATTTGGAGGATAGAGATTGCTTAATTATTAATTTAGCTGCTTATTGTATGACATAACATTTTTTAAACTTTCTTTAAATATTATGTATTGCAGGCCTTCAAATATATAATTTTACAAGTAAATAAAGACTATGATTGTGAGGATCCACCAAATTTACCTGAAACATTTAAAGGTTTTGGGGAAATAAGACGACCTACAAATTCCAAAGGACAAGAGAAGCTCACATTTGACGCACTTCGAGATCTGGTTGTCCATATGCTTGATTCTGCCATGACCTTAAAAATATTTGTAGAAATCTACTCAAAGGCTGTGCATATATTAAAGAGTACAAATTTTATTTTAAGGTGAGGTTTTTAAATGCCTATTTAACCTAACTCGGAGGAATTAATTCAAAACAATTTTTTTTTTAAATTAGAGGTAGACATTTTGATCTTAGAAATAGTACTTATGAAATTCCTAATATATTTCATTTGCAATATACAAAGCCAAGTAAAAAAATATTTTCAGTATAGTTCAAGTGTACGAGTATGGAATACCACATCTATATGAGAAGTTAGAGGAGGTCGGTGACCCCACACGTGTTAGTTACACAGAAGTCGAAGAGTTCATTGACCTGACCAGATCAGAACTCATTGATATATTCAGAGAGGTGCTGGCTGTGTACAAGAATGCTATTTTCAGCGGAGAGTGAGTATTGAACAAGAACAATTTATTAATTTAAGTTGTTGTAAGTTGGCCTAGTGGTCTCAGAGTGTGACTCTCAACCCTGCGGTTATAGGCTTGACCTGCTTTGCACCAATGGACTTTCTGTCTATGGTGCATCTAATAAGAAACTCTGAGGCCAAGATTCATTTAGGGTTTTAGCATCACTGGATTTTTATTATTATGATTAAAATTGATACTTATAGATAAGTGATGTCATTTTACAGTGCTACTATTTGGTAGTCTGTCTTCTATATACACAAAAAAAATATTGTCAACCCATTTGCTTTTTTCTACATTTTAAAAAATTCTATGTATTTCCACAGAGGCAATATATCAAATAATGTTGAAGCTTATCTGTCTGTCATGATGGACGCGCTGTCTGAACGCCTTCTAATAAAAGACTACCATTCGTGCCACCCGGTACATGAAGATATTGATATGCTGCGACAAGCTTATCCTGCTATGTATCCTTTATACTCATAAAGCTCATAATATTTGTATATAATCTATAATAAAATACAAGTAAAAGTTTGTTATGGGTTCTACTAAACTGAACATATTATAATTTCCCCTTTAAAGTAACGATGATGATTGACATTTCGAGTCGAGACTTAGCACTAAGTATGACTCTAGTTTGTCAAAACTCAAAAGTCTCATCGTCATAGTTTGCTCTATAATACAATTGTCGTATCGTAAATACATACATATTGTAAACATTTATAATTATGACAGCTCAATCTGTCAAATGTCAACTTCATATTAATAATTAATTTTATATTGTGTTGTTACAAATGGACGGTTTGTGATATCAACATATTTAAATTCCATCATGTTTGTTTCTAAACATAAAATATATTTATGATTATTTGAAAAAATAATAAGAGAAGAAAAATGTTCAGGCCATTAGAAATAACAAATATTTCTTCCTATTAAAATCCAGTGATCCAGTAAAAACAGATTTTATATTACAAGCGATATACTCCAACCTGGATGATGAAATACCGGAACGTGACCAAAGACAAAGTGAGCCTAGAGAAATAAACGGCCATCTTGAAACCATAGATATACCGTCATCTTCCAAAGACATTGACATACCAGATAACGTCAGAGAGCAATCTTTAATCAGTGAGGTTAAGGACATATTGCCGCATCTGGGAGATGGATTTGTTTTAAAATGTCTGGAATATTACGAATTTCAGGTTGATAGGGTTGTGAATAGTGTTTTGGAGGATACGTTGGCAGAACCATTAAGAAGTAAGTATGAGTATAGATTTTTGAAAGTCCTTTTCGCCTTAAAAAAGCGGTTTGGCCTAGTGACTTGAGCGTGCACGTCTTAACCCTGAGGCAGTGCTTTCGAATCACGACTGCACCAAAATATTTTTTTTCTAAAACGCCTATGACTCAAAGTAATGACATTTAATTACGCAGTAATTTTTATCCGTATGATATTTGAATTAAGAATTGTTAATCTGTGGAACTTTATTCTCTGTAATGTTTGACATTGATGGCACTCATAATTGTGACAGTTACGATTTCAATACCAGACATAGACATAAATATATCACAGAAAACTATATAACTATTTTTGAAGTTATACTTCTTTAGGCGCGTTATGAAAAATTTATGAGAGTGAAATTTTACAATGCGCGCGCACCCGTGACACAAAATTAGGAGTGTGATTATAGCGTGCGCGAGCGAGATAGGAATAAGACAATCTACAAGTAAAAAGAAATAGAATATGCGTGAAGTTCGTATGCCAACAATTTTGAATGACCATAATGACATTTGTCATTTACCTTTTAAACAAATAAAGGAGTTTTAATTATTTTTTCAAAGAAATTTAGCGATGCTTTTTGAATTATAATCAGAAGTGATTTAAATTGAATATTTAAACCAATACTAATTAATATTTGTGAAAAACTGTGCTCATCAACCTTCCTAAGTGCTTCAATACAATTGAGGTTAACTATCCGTATGTATTATTATTATTATCGAGTAATGTTTTGATTAAAAAATTAACCACATTGTTTAATCAAAACATGTAATTTTTCTGATTTTATCTAGCAAATATAAGGAAAAGAGACAAAAAACAATTGATGAATCAGTGTAACTGCACTAAATTGAATACAAAAAAAGAGTTTTCATCTTATCGCTGTGAAACATCAAAAACTGGAGGTGGAACAAAGCCAAACTATTTTTAATATTGCCAAAGAATTATAACTTCTTACGCGCGTACATAAGTACACGGACCCTTTTTTTTCAGAATTGGACAAAGACTTACCAATAATCCCAGAAGATCCAGTAGACAGAAAGTTCCTAGAAACAGGAGTGGAAAGACTTAACGTGTTTGATGGAGACCAGTTTGATATAATGACCCGTGATGATGTGGACCTGAGCAAGATTCATATTGGGAAGAGGAAATCGAAGTACAAAGACCTTAAGGATATGTTGAATGACAAGACGGACGTGAAGACCAGGGTTGATATATATAGCAAATATAAGTGAGTAACTACTTGTTCATTTTAGTGTTATTTTGACATAATATTAGTTTGACAAGATTAAAAAAAAAATATTTAGATTATTTTTCTGTGATTCTATAGAATATTTTTATTTTGTTTCTGTTAAATATTTAAAAATTCAAATTAAACATTCATTCACCTGCCATAACGCTTCTTTAGGATTAGGCGATGATATATTATGTACAAGCATGCTACGTCATCGTCTTCGACCAATCTTTGACCGCTTTTTGTCACGTGACAAATAAATATTATAAATAATCATAATTTACTATATTTGCTTATATTTATTCTTCACGTCAACCTTCTGTGCCTGTACATGTCATATGTTTCATCTTTGTCATCCTCCTGTGCCTGACGCCCGTCAACTGTTTCATCTTCGTCAGCCTCCTATGCCTGACACGCGTCAACTGTTCTTTGTCCGCCTCCTGTGCCTGACATACGTCGACAGTTTCCTTTTTGTTGAAGCTATAAAACTACACTTTTTTAATGTTTTGAATACATATTTTCCAGTCTGGTGTGTGACGAAGAAGCACTTTACTCGGATGAGTATGATGACACGTATGACTCAGATGGCATAGCCCCAGCTAAAGATATGACAGATGACACTAGGAGACCATTTGTGACCCCACGTGCTTTGCTCAACACCAAAAAGGATGTTGAGGTAAGAAGTTTAATATCTGTAATACTTTATTAATAGGAAATATATAATCTAATTGTATGTAATTCATATTATTTTATATACTTCCTTTAAAAATATATAAGATTAAGAAAATCAATTATTAAAAGGCTGGCAACGCACTTGCGAGCCTTCTGAGACAAAGGGTGTATGCCGAGAGAAAAAGCCGGCGTAAAAAAACCCTCTTTACTCTTTTAAAATTATCATTTATATTTTCCCATTTGCATTTTAAACATATTTTGGCCCACATTTTACAGGAATACGATGAATCGGAGAGTGAAGACGAGAAATCAAGTCAGGAGAAGAACGATAGAAGAGATTTCTGTGTCAATCCGGAAGAGATGAGAGCTAGGCGAGAGGCTAACAATGCTAGGGGAAGGAGAAAACCCCCACCTGCCAGGTGATTTTCAACTTTCTTAACGTTTTACTTGCGGTCGTACGTTCGTGTCCCAGAAAATAATTTTACAAGCTTTACCGCGCTCGTACGGTGAAGCCGGCTGAGACATAGAGTTTAAATATTTATAAAATGTTTTATTATTATTCTATATTTATTTAATATAATAATAATAGCATTTAATTTAGATACATTTAAACCCGTTTCTATTTCAATCTTCTTTTATACTCAGATTTTTTATTCCGTAGAATTCTGACATTTCATAACTTGCTACTAAAAACGTTACTATTTTTTTTACTGTTTGTGATGAAAAGGGACGTAATTATCAATCGCCGTTAAACCACTTTTAATGTTGAGCACCGCATTTAATAAAATGTATGTATAGACTATAGACTTGTATTGAAATTGAATAATGTTCCCGGCCAAAAAGGTTTGCCATCTCTGACATGTCAAAAAATGATAGCTGTCAGAATTCTACGGAATTAAAAATCAGAGTATCTGTGTGCCACTCTGCCATGTACCACCTGCCGGTTCTTTACCTTGGCCTATCCACCTTCTAGGTTGTTTTCCTCTTTTTGAGTTTGGTACTATCATGCTCCACTTCTCTGTTTCCACTTTAGTTTATTTATTGAATAACACTCGTGTATAACAATAAATATACTTAGTTATTGAATATGTATATGTATTGTTTACCCTCCTATTTCATATTTTTTAAATTTCCTATTGAACTAATTTGCTGGGAATCGAACCCTGGACCTCCGCTAAACGTTATCTAGATCGGAGCTAATTATAATTGGGTCTTTTTTTTTCAGAAACATTGACGTCGCAGGCGCTCCTAAAGGTCAAGGGCAGACGAAAGATGTCCTCAACAATAGAGATCGGAAAGAGAAGCACAAATCTTCGAGAGCTAACCATAATAGAAGACAAGGAGCGCAATGGAAACGGAGTCAGGGCATGATGCCATCATAGTATTTAACCGCAAAATACCCGCAAAGAAAAACCCGCTTGAGATGACAAAAATGTCCATATCCTAACACTTTAGCCTCAGCCACATACAGTTATCCTCCCTATAACACGGACCGGCGTTATAGGATATCGCGTTGTAGGAGTATTCTCGTAAAACAATTCAAAAACTAGGAACACGAATTTAATTTAATAACACGAATAAACCAGGTGCAAAGGTACGCAAACGACTTGAGAAATAATTATAAATTTCACACTAGAAATATAACTAGAGAAATCTCCGCGTTATAGGGAAAATATAGCGCGTTATTTGGGTTCGCATAGGGGCACCGCGTTATAGTATTGTTTTTCGTGTACACATATGTCTATTTTTATCTTACAATTGTTATTATATGAAGTTTTTTAAATAAATTTGCTTCCAGTTTTTAGACTCCAGTTATTCCACTAACATGATAATTCAGTACTCCACATATTGCGTAGTCTTTATTGGTACTAAATGTAGCGGTTAAAACCCGCAGTTATTGTAACCTGCTGCGGTTTTGTATTGTCTGGAAACTACCAAACGTAATGAAATGTTGATTCCTATATTCTCTCCTTGTAACATTATTACGTAAAGAATTTCCTAATTATTTTTTATATATTAAGGCATCTAATCTATGTATTTCAAAATCCAATACATTTTTGACCCATTTAGCCCAAAATTGTTTTTAAATATAGCTAGGTTTTTCCTTTCGTTTGGGATTTATAATTTATTAAAGTGTGAATTATGAAAATATTACAAACTTTTAGTTTTGTTTAATCTATATCTATTTATTTAAAGGCCGGCAATGTACTTGCGAGCCTTCTGGCAATGTGAGTAGTAGCTATGGGCAATCACTATCATCTTTGGAACTACTGGTTTTAATAATTTTAATGATGTTTTCGAATAAATAGCTATATAATATTCCTACCTAAAGTAAAAAAAACACCTTACCACCAAAAATACTTACAAAGTAACGATTCTTACCAATAGAGGTCGTAGAGTCATACCCAACTCATATAGGTTTGTTAATCGGCCTTATTGTTTGTTATCACTTTTCACCACAGCGTAAACGCAATTTGACAGAAAGAGACGAAAGAATACTCTAATTCAATTAGACCAATTGAATAAATGACTCTGACACATTTGACGTAGCCTAGTAATGGCGGCCATATTTATTTTCATTAGAATTATATGATTTCTTAGCTTTTTTCAATTCTGATTATTTAATACAGCATTCTTATTAATTTTGTGAAATGAACGTCATTACAATGCTGCGTCAGAGCCCCCTAGGAAGCTAAACTGGCAGGTGTCAAGTGTAATCTACCAAATTGGGATTGTCAAAAAAATGGAAATGGAAAAGATAATTCCGCATATTATTACCATTTTTGTAAACTTTGCCCTTGCCCTTGTTAAGAGTCCCTTAAGGCTATCTACCTAAATACCGGACCATAAAGCACATAATAGTCTGTAATCTAGACTTTAAGACTGAGACTTTCAAATGTCATTCACACTGTCAATTGTCAAATTTAAAATTTTGTATTTTTTTAAATTCACTTGTCAAGGAAATAATGCATTAGACACAGAAATATATCTGCAATCTGTGTCGGGAGAATATATTTTTGTTATTGATACATTATATCCGTGTTGTGTAATAAATTACATATTTATATTTAGTGTTTTATTTTGCGCCACTCATTTTATACTACATCCAGCGCTGTTACTCTTAAATCCTTAAAGCAGTATATACTCAGTTGTACCCTGTGAACATCTATGCTACCGAGAGAACTAAATCGAAATTGTAAAGAGTTCGAGATCGCTATTGAAATACAGAGTACTGACGCTGTTTGCTGGATATTGTATGTCTTTCTTTGTATCAATTAAATCAATTATTATATATTTGACGCAAATTAAGTTTGGTGGCGGTTGGTCGTTGTTGTATGGATATGTTCATATTAAACACTTTGTTTGAAGCTGGGTAACAACTGGCGACCTGCAAAAAGAGCGTACCAATTCTTATACCGCCGGCAACGCACTTGCGAGCCCTCTGGCAATGTGAGTGTCTATGGGCGGTGGTATCACTTAACAGATGAGCCTCCCGTCGTTTCCCTGCTACTTAAAAACAAATGAAAAGCGATGTAAACTTACTGTAACAATTCTGAAATGTCAATTTTTTTTAAGTTTCTATTCCCGAACTTTGAGTTTAAAATCTCAATTGTCCCGATAGCAATGTCTCGCAATTATTTCCCTTTTATCTAGCATACACATGTGTATGAAAATACAGTACATATTTACAAAATTGTAGATCGTAATTAGTTTGAATAATGTAGGATTAAAATCACCACATCAAAGCGTTTAGCGATTATAAAGCCGAAAATAGCTTATTTCCTGGCCAGTTGCGAATTAAGATCATTGTACATACAATATGTTTATAGTACAGGAGTATATAAGAAACTCGTAAATTTTTACTAAGCTTTAACTAACCGACTCTTAATTAAACACTCTGAGTTCAAAGGGTATTTACTATTAAAACGTAGTGTAAATTAAATATAAACACAGTGTTCTCATTGTTTGATCAAAAGTAAACACGGTTCGCTTGATATGCCATCCGCAATCCATCAGATCCGCACAATGTAAACAGAACGAAAATAACGCATTACTCGGTATAGCCACAGATTAAGACAATCAGTCATTGCAAATAAATAAAAACTTTATTCATGACAAAATTGATCTAACACTAGCTTCAGTGTTGTGTAACTACAATATTTTTTTAATGCTCTGATTACACATCTTAATTGCGCTGTTAGTGCCAGTAGTTAGGCATGCGATTAACGTTTGTGTAAGCCGTAAGGCATAATCTATACATATTATGTAATTTATTTATACAAAAAAGAAAAAACATCAATTTAGACAAACTAGAACCAAGGCCTTGAAATTCCATAAACATTATGCTTTCAATTAATAGATACAAAGAAAAACATTAGAAAATATTTGCAAAATAGAAACCGAATGCCCTTTCTTAAATAGCAGAGATCCTAAAAAATATCAAGATCTATCGGCCCTGCATTGCATGTTCTAGCCATAGTTTAGTGGAGCGTAAAACCCTAAGTTAAAATGCTTAGTGACCATAAAAAATGTATCCGTTTGGCAACGTCTCAAACCTCTCAATTAATAATTATATATTTTATATTTGGTATTTACTGTAAAGTATTTGGAAAAGGAATATTATTAGTAAAGGAAAACAATGTTGCAAAACCAGTCTTGGAGCCTAAAATTAATGTACAATGTACATCCCTCCGTACCACCGTACTTGGTTTGTAGAACAATTAAATTGGAATATTTGTTTTAAATTTATTGTAAATTGGCTAAGCTTGTTAGCTATATGATGCCACGTCATATTATGCGGAAGCTAAATAAAGAAATGTCAATTAAATTATTCGTAGTCATCAATGCTATAACAGACCAAAAACTATATCTGAGTAATTTGTATCCTATCAATTATATTTAGTTACTGTTTGCTTTGTTCTGTAGTTTAAACGTGGTGCGGCAAGTAAAAGGTCAGCAAAATGGTTATGAATATAGCTACGTGTTCCGAATCGCAATAACTCATCGTCTGTGGATGCATTCACAAACTCAAGCAGAGCGGGAACGTTTTACTTTTCTGTGTAATGTTGAGATATCGATACACAAGATGGCGTTGGTGCACCATAATTTCTGAATATCTTAATTTGGAATATCTTCATTAATGAAACTAGGCGACCGCTACTATACTTGTAATAAAAACATTATCACTTATCTAAAGAGACCATAATATGTAAATTGTTTATTTTCAAAGTGGTACTTTCAGATTGATTAACCGCAAAATAGGTATCCTAATGTCATAATAATAATTACAGTTAAGTTATATATATAATTGTTGCCAAAACTTTTTTTTGTTGATAATTTTATATAACACAGATTGTAAGAAACTTGTTTTTAAAATGAATCGGTAGATGGCGCTCAAATAAGCGCAGTACAAAACCATCGACGCTAAAACGCGCTAACGAAGTTTTTCTGATAGTTAAGGATAAGAACGACAATTTGTGAAGAGCAAGTGTACTCGCTTCGGCAGTACATAAACTAAAATTGGAACGATACAGAGAAGATTAGCATGGCCCCTGCGCAAGGATGACACGCAAAATCGTGAAGCGTTCCACATTTTTTTATAGGATTAATATTGGACAGTGAACTTATTAATAATTAAGTAGGTATGTGTGTTCTAAAATAATAATAAATCAAAAATATTTCAAAACATGGCATTTTTTAAAATAGTTTTTTAATTTTTGTTGTTATGATACGGTATTATATATTATTATAATTATTAATTCATAAGATATTTTATGTATTTATATTAGAATATGCAAAGTTTTGTTGAATTTAATAGTTCAACAATATTCATTTTTTCTTCATAAAATTGAAAATTGTTATTTTGAAATAAAATTGACATGTGACAAAAATGTGACATACTTTTCATAATACATGAAAGATTGTATCATAATTTCCCGCCATTTTTATCACCGTAACCTTCCCCTAACATAGAGTTGCCGGCGATTGTAAGTCGCAATATCGACATAAGTTACGTCTTCATAGACGCATAAAATCAACAATGGTCCAGTCTTCGTATAATTCAACGGTGTGAATAATTATTATTCACTAGCTTACTCGAGCGGTTTTGTTAAAGGTTCTGTTATATTTTGTTTGGTCATATTTTGAGGCGAATGATCTTATATTTCATAATTGCTGACCCGGCATAGTTATTTTACCATAATATTATTACAGTGCTATAACTAGTAAATGGGTGGTAGAATGGTGAAAAATTAGGGTTATTTGGTTTTTTAATGCCAAATTGTCCACAATTCAAAAAATGTGTTAAGGGACTGGCTTCTGAGCACATCTTACGCAGAGTTGGAGTCTGGAGATGCTACTGAGACCTAACACGTAGGTACGC